CTTGAGTATCGAAAATAATCGAATCGTTGGGTCAGGAAAGTCTCAATCGTTTAAGCTAGACGGCTAGATAACAATGCTCCATTAAACAGACGTGTCCTCTTTGGCCTCTGACCTTTGCCCTCTCTGTGAGCATGGTAAAACTGGAATAATCAGCACATGGTACGAGCTAACTAATATTGGACGCTAACAGTAATGTTCCAGATGATTTACATCTACAACCTCTGTTACCATCGTCGCTCAAACAGCTGCACTGTCTGAAGCCTTTCAAGGTAAAAGTGAAATAAAAGCTGCTAATAGGCTGGAAATATTTTACATTCCCATGTTTATTTCCTACGATGGAGTATTGGGGCCAGGCTAGAGATTTTTTCTAGTATTTTTTTTTTATTTCAAGAATAAAGTCATAAAATTACAAGAAAAAGGCAGAGAACTAAATGGAAATTTTTCCTCTCTGTGACGATCTAAACGTTATCCTTTATTAGTACTAACAGTTTTTTAACAAGTTGTAGCTTTAGTTGCAGAGGTGGTAATCTGCTGCTCCCTGGTGTGAGAGAAAAAAAAAATCAACCTCCTATTGTTGCTATGGTTACATACCATAATAAGCATGTAAAAAATAAAATATCTGTTTCTGTCATGCTAACAGCCAGCCGTCGGCTAACTGGTCAGCTTGGGTTCGACCCCAACACCCAGAAAATATCCAGAACTAAAGGCAGAAAAAAAATCACCTTTTTCAATCTTTAATCATAAATGCTAGTTAATGGGTTTGTAAAATGAAACCTTTAAAACCCAATTTGAAAATGATTGAAGGTTTTCTGATGTATTATTCTTTTAATAAATAATCCAGCAATAAAATAAAACAGCCAAAGTATTGAAACCATCCTTGTGTTCGGTAGTGATTCCATCCCAGGTTACTGCGGTGTCTGGATCCAGCGTTTGAGTATAGATGATGTTAACCACGCTACCAGCCTCGGCCTGGTGGCACGGCCAGCAGGAGCCAGGCATGGTCGCCCCGCTGGCTGTTTTTACTTCTTTGCTTCGTGTTTCCTGCTGTCTCTGCTGCGTTAAGCTGGAAATATGAGCTGGTTTAGATAAATGTTCCCTGAGCTGCAGAACATCGACCAGGATTCCCTTCAGATGAGGAATGAATTCCCTCCATGGTGGAAAATGGGTTTTAACTTTCCAGCTGTGTTCAGCTGTGGATTCTGACCTTAACGTCTGCTTCTTGTCCTCAGGTTGTTATGCCAAATTCTCCGCCCGCAGCAGCTTGTACATTCACTCCAAGAAGCATAAGCAGGATGCCAGCTCCCTGAGAACCCGCTGCCCGGTGGCCAACTGCTCCAAGCACTTCTCCTCCCGCAGCAGCCTGAAGAGCCACATGCTCAAACACCACCACCTCAGTCCTGGTTGGTACCCACACACCCCGGCTCGGGGCTGGGAGCCGTTTGGCAGAACAGGCGTCCAGGTTCTGGTTCTGTGTAACGTTTTCCTCTCCTTCTGCAGATGTTCTCAGCCAGATGGAGACCACCCCCTCCCTGACTCCCAGCAGCGAGCTGATCAGCTCCGCCCACTCGTCGGTTGCCGGGCCCGGAGGCGCCGGGCCGGACCAGCTGTCCAACCTGGACCTCAGCTCTCTGTTCTCCTCGGTCCCCGCTGGTGCCGCGCCGAGTGCCGGCATAGAGGCAGGCCTCCCTGTGGCCGGCAGCGGCTCCAGTGGCGCCTTCACCATGGATCTGTCTCTGGTCAGCTCAGGGATTCTAACCATAGACCCGTCCTCCATGGGCGCCACACTTGTTAGCGGGACCACGTTGGCCAAGCCTTTGGACCCTCTTGTCTTGGCTCCTGGTGCCGAGCTGACTCATCAACACGGACTGGAGGGGGCGGTGGGGGACGTCCTCCCCCCACAGGGAACCCTGAACCTGGACGACGTGCAGACGGTCACCCCAGAGGCCCTGGGGACGCTGGCGGCCCTGACCATGCAGGGCGCCTCGGTGGACCCCGCCCTGCAGCACCCGCTCGGCTCCTCCAGCGGCCTGGCGGTGGAGCCCTCGGCCGCCTTGGCTGTGGCCCCGGTCCCCGAACTCCTGGCCTCGCCCTCCAAAGTGGTGGAGGTGGGGGGGCAGGGAGGCGCGGGTCACCTGCTGGGCTGTGTGGAGGTTCTGGGTCCGCAGGACGGGGGGAAGGTTCTGACCTCTCAGTTTGTGTTCCCCAGCAGCAGCTTCAGCCCTCAGAAGGACCTGGAACTTTCCGTGTCTCCAAGCAGCTTCCTGGTGAGAACAAGTCCCCCGCTCTGGGCGCCACTTTCATGGCCATCTATACCTGAAGCCACATCGGCCATTTATCCAAAGTTAGCAATAGACGGGGAAAGTGATACGGCGTCCATATTTGGTCGCTCAGGCGAGGACTCTGGTTTGGTCCTTTTTTCCTTAGAATCATTAAACCTGGAAAGATGTCGAAGTTTGAAACTTTCTGCTGTATTTCTGCTCAGTAGGCCCAAAGCTAACGGTTCTGTGTGTCATGGTTTCCTCTTCAGGACAGCGGCGGTTCTGCTCGGACCGACTACAGAGCCATCCAGCTGGCCAAGAAGAAGAAGCAGAGAGGTTCCTCAGCCACGCCTGGTACTTAGCGCCGCCATTGCAGATCCAGAAAGAAAAACGGCTACAGCTGTGATGACCTTTCACCTTTTGGTTTAACTTTAGGTTCCTGTCAGAGAAAAGCCAAAGTTCCAAAGGTTTCTGTGACATCATGCGCTGCTCGTTACAGTGACGGAGCTGTAGCAGCCAGCGGGGGTCTGACCCTGAGGGACCCCGTCACGGGGACTCAGTATGTCCAGATTCAGCTTCTGCAGGTGAGCTTCAGCAGCAACGTCACCTTCTCCACACCAGCACAGAGGCTCTTCCTCCTCCTGGTGAACACTCTGATGGACGTAGCCTTGGTTAGCATGCTGAGCAGCTTAGCTCTGATGGACGTAGCCTTGGTTAGCATGCTGAGCAGTTTAGCTCTGATGGACGTAGCCTTGGTTAGCATGCTGAGCAGCTTAGCTCTGATGGACGTAGCCTTGGTTAGCATGCTGAGCAGTTTAG